TATGATATTTGTTTGAATTAATAAAGACCGCAGTCTCAGACTGAACCATTAGTCTTTTTCAGACCATTTTCAAAACTGACAGTTTGGTCCGTCTTTAAATAAGACTGACATGGACCGGACCGGACAGACCATTTAACATCCCTGAGCATGCCCCATATATATATTCCCCCGTAGAAATGTCGATCAATTCATCCTTTTTTTCATGGCTTTTCTTTCTTGGTAAATTTCATAGGTAATCCTTCTTTCTTCAAGTGTCTGAGTGTCATTTATTTGGATAACGTAAGGGACAATTTTTCTACAAAATATTTCTGGTTGTAATATATATAATTCTTGGGTTTCGTGGTGGGTCTGATACAAATGAGTTTCATATTTATATTTTTTATTTATAAGATTAGTTGCTAAAAAAATAAAAATAAAAATAAATAAATAAGCGTGATTATTATAAAATTGTGGAATTCTTTGTTTCATTGTGTTGTTGCTTATTTTATATTTTTATTATTTGTATCACACAAAAAACTAAAAAGGAAATAAAAACACTAATTGATTTTTACTAATTTGTTTATTATTGTTTTTTTTTCTTCCTTTAAAAAAAAAAAAATATATTATTAATTCTTCCTGAAAATTGCAGTTACTCATTCATCTACATGATTGATAATATTAATTAATAGGACTCCGACTTTTTAGTTTTCTATAAAAATGCCTCGAAAATTACGTGAAAGCATGCCGAAAAATGATTGTGAACATTGTGGTAACGCGTCACACGTTTCAACAAATTGTCCTTTAATACTAATTAGTGATGACGAAGACCACGAGGAAAATCAGCAAGAAAAACAACAAGTAGAAATTTTAGATTCTTTTAATAGTAATAATGGGATAAATATTATAGATGATAATGATTTTAAAACACCAACAAGTCAAAGAATTATCAATTATATTCCTGCTCAACTTCATTATAATAACTTTGATGATATGAGTAGTGTTGTGGATACTTTGGATAGTGAAGTTGCTGAATCAAGTAATGCAGCAACTGCAGTAAATAACAATATTGATAAAGGTAAAGCGGTTGAATTAATTGATCTTGTTACACCTGGTAGTAGTGATAATGGTAATCATGAAATTGATGAAGTCGTTGATCTTGTTTCACCAACTGTTGCTACTAATCGTGGTAAAAAACGCGAAAATGAAGGTGAAGAAGGTGAATATTATAGAGTTATGCATATCTAATTATTTACGTCAAGACAACAAACAATATTAATAAATTATTTATCTATATGTCCAAATAGAAAAAGAAAGTTCATTTACCAAAAAGATTAAAAGGGCATTTGAGATTTCACGAGCTGCTATTCCTACTACCTTCGTATCAGCTTCATCTCTTTTATCTCAAGTCCCACAAACGTTTCAAACAGAGGTTATACCATTCGCTATTGATTTGAATCAATTAAGAAGACAAATGGAACAATTTCACAGTCAATTTATTGGTGATAATGTTGATCAACTAGAAGACGATGACAATTCTATTCAAATATTATATGGAAATATTAAATCAAAAGTTGTTGGAATTAGATATTATAATGGAACAGTTAATAGAAATGAAGCTGTAAGTTAATCATATAAGTTGATTATTATATTATGAGATGTTACAATATTAATATTAACAGTAATAAATTAACTAAATTATTTATTTATAATATTATAAATAAAGGTCTCGATTACTAGAGAGCCGGATAATATAGCTGATTCAAATGCATTAAGAGTTGATAATATTCTTGGAAATCAAGTTGGTCATATTCCAAGAGATATCGCACGTATTTTAGCACCAATGATTGATTCAAATGAAATAAGAATTGAAGGTCTTTATTTTACTTATGGCATTATTTGTTTTTTTTTATTAACAGTCAATAACACATATATATGCGTGCTCACTATTATTAACAGGTACTATTAGTGGTAGGAGTGGAACACATCATATTCCATTACTTATTAATGTTTTTGGTTCGCCGGAAAATGAGGATGAGATCAAAAGGAAATTGAGATCAAAAGTTTCTCTTGACCCACCAACTCTGACCGCAACAAATAGTAGAGGAAAAGGTTCTAGATCCAAAGATAGATGTAAGTATAAATAAGTTACTATTTTTAATATTAATTATTATGATTTGTTATTATGACTCTCTATTACTATTGTTATTGTTATTTATAAAATCTAATCAAGCTTCATAATCAATATATTTACAGTAAAAGGAAATGATGCATGGCAAGAATTAATTTCAAAGGGAACCCAAATTGATTCTACGGATAAGCAAATACTAATGAAAAGACTTGGAATTGAAGAAACAGATTTAGCAAGATTAGCTGAAGCCACGCAACCAACATCACTAATCACAAATTTATTAAAGTATCAACGACAAGGATTGGGTTGGATGTTGGCTCATGAGCATCCAGATGAGCCTACTATTGAAAAAGCAACGCAATTTTGGATGATAAAGAATGAACGTGGAACATCTCAATATTATAATATAGCCACCAATTTTTCTACTACCACTAAACCCGTATTTGCTAGAGGTGGTATTCTTGCTGGTGAGCGAATGAGTAATCAATATGTTGACTTTGTTTTATGTTACTTAAATTATTATTAATCTTTTTATTTTAATAAACTTTAGATGATATGGGTTAGTAATTAACAATCATGATGGTGACGATGGTCACAATTATATTATTAATATAAATACCATTTTATATATTTCTAGGACTTGGAAAAACTTTACAAATTATTGCTTTAATATGTTATGATGTTGACGGAAAAGGCTTTGTTACCAACCCCATACCCGCAGATCCATCATATGCGAAGACTACGCTAATTGTTGGCAAGCATTTTTATTACCTATTATTTATAACCTGTTTAATATTTATTAATATTTTTATTGATTTTTTAATAATAATTTACAGTACCTTTAAGTCTTATTGGAAATTGGTTAGTTCTATATATTTAATATATTATTTATTGATTCATTCATCATTTATCAATTAATATATACTTTACATTGTTTATTAATTTTTTCCGTGTATTTATTTTGTTTCAATATTGACAATACAGGACTGGGCAAATTGAAATGCATGCTCCAGATGTGCTCTCAATCTATGTTTTTCATGGTAATCATCGTAACGACAATCCATACTTTTTAGCAAGTCATGATGTTGTAATTACAGTAAGTTACAAAAAAATCTTCTTGGATTAAAGGAAAAACTAAAACCACAGCCAGCTTATCTATCTATATGTATCTAAAATAATATCTTAGACATATAATATGTTATCCGTATCAGGTAATAATCATAAAAAAGGATTATTTGCAGTGAAATGGAGAAGAATAGTGTTGGATGAGGGACATATTATCCGATCCAAAAAAACCAAACAAAGTGAAGCTGCTTTTGCTTTGGAGGGTGAGAGAAGATGGATTTTGACTGGTACACCAATTATGAATAAACTAAATGATATGGTAATTAATATTTTTGGGGAGGGAGAAGAAATATATATATATATATTAAATTATGATTAATTAATACATATGTATATACGTATGTATTTAATAGTATTCTTTAGTAAAATTTTTAAGAATCAATCCATTTGATGACTTAAACTGGTGGAATAGGATATTTGTTAGACCTATTAAAAATGGTGTAAGTGAAAATATTTAATGAAATCATACATACGTGAACCTATGTGGTAGATTTCAATTGATTGATTTATTAACTTATCTTTTTATTGTTATGTTTTATTAATAAGGACCCGGTTGGAGTTGAACAACTCAAAGTAAATAAATTTGTTAAATCCCCCTACTTTATATTATTATTAAATAGTAATTTTTTATAATTGTTTTAGGTATTAATGAGAACAATCTGTCTAAGACGTACAAAAGATATGAAGTTTGATGGTAGACCTATACTTGAGCTGCCACCAATTACTTCTTATTTACATAAAATTCAATTTACTCCAGAGGAAAAAAAAAAATACGAGTTCATGGAGTATGTATAGTATATATATGTGTGCGCGTATGCGCTATTTTTTAAAAAAATAATATATATATGTATATTAATTATTTTGGTTTTTTAAAGAAATGATGCTCAATCTCAATTTAAGAAATGGCGAAGCACCGGTGAAGTTGTAAGTAAAAAAAATGACCTCAAATTTTTGTATATAAGCATTAATAAAATATAAATGTATTTAATTTTCTAAAATTATCAATTACAATCACCTTTCACCACCATAGATGAGTCATTATTCAATAATTTTAGAAGTATTGACAAGGCTAAGACAAATATGTGATCATCATAAATTGTGTGAACATCGATTAAATTCACTGATTGAAAGAAATCAAAAGGAAATTGCTGATGCACTGAATAATGAAGACTTACAAGACTTGTATCGTATACTCCAAACAACGATTGATGATAACGAAGATTGCTGTATTTGTTTGGAAACGCTTAGTACACCAATTATTACACCTTGTAGGCATGTATTTGACAGAGGTAACTATAATTATTTTGAAAGAGTTATTGAAAAGAAGAAAAATGACCATAATTATTAACAATAATATTATTTTCAAAAGATTGTATTGAAAAGGCATTGGTTAAAAGCGAGTCATGTCCTTTGTGTCGTAATCATGTTTCTAAAAATCAATTGATCGATCCTCCTCCAGTACCAATTGAATCTTCGGAACAAACTAATGATGATATTGATGAATACGAGGATGAGAATGATTTTTCAAAAAGTAAAAGTGATTATATTCCAAGTTCAAAGATTGAAGCTTTAATGGATTTTCTAAAAGGTAATGTATGAATATATGCATACATGTATATGGTATGTCTGTTTTGCACATATTGATATATCTGTATGCATTTTTAATAATTACAACAATAGTTTCAAGCAAGAATGATCCGAGCACCAAATCTGTTGTATTCAGGTTGGTATCAAACATAATACTATAATGTTCAATTATATATGTTACAAATATACATTAAAATTCAAATTTACACATTCAAATGCACATTCACATTTATAACACAGCCAATGGACATCGTTTTTAGATTTGATAGAGAAAGCATTGAATCTTTATGGTTTTACATTTGTTAGATTGGATGGTAAAATGCAAAGACATAAACGAGATGAAGTGATAAGATTGTTCCAAACTGATGGTTCAATCCAAATATTTTTAGCTAGTCTCAAGTGTTGCTCCTTGGGATTGAATTTGACGGCTGCTAATCAATGCTTTATCATGGACCCTTGGTGGAATCCGGTAAGTCTAATTATTGTTTAAGAAGTATTGTTAATGTGAAAATGTTAATTAACACTATTGTATTTTTTAATATGGATATTGTAAACTTTTTTTAGAGTATTGGTATGTGATTTTATATATTATATCTATACAATTAATTTTTATATTCATTTATTTATCTATCTATTTTAAAACAATAATAATAATTGTGTATATCACTAATTATGAATAATAGAGGATCAGGCAGTTGGTATGTATAATTATATATTATTTTCATCAGATTTCTACAATAAATAATAATAAATATAATTATTTATTCTAATATCCATAATAGATCGAGTTTATAGATTGGGACAAACAAGACCAGTCTCAATATTTAGATTTGTAATCCAGGATACAATTGAAGAACGAGTGATGAAATTGCAAGAAAGGAAAAGAAAATTGGTGTCCAATGCATTTGGGGAAAAGATTAGAGAGGATGCAAGTAGAGTCAGGGAAGGTAATTAATATGCGCTTAAATTAATATGCACTTAATATGTATATGCTATTATGTTCACGTATAATAATTAATGCGTTATTTATGATTTGTTTGTTTGTTTGTTTGTTTATTATAGCGAGATTGGAAGATTTACAAGCATTATTGGGAGGGAGTGGAAATCAAACAACGTTATCGTCATCATCTTCGTCATCTTCATCTACTTCTATTTTTACTTCTATCTAAAAAATAATAATACATACAAATGAATAGTTTGTAGATGTTTCGTTTTCATAAATTCAAAAATATAAATCAATTAAACCATTTTATCATCATTAATTTCTTTCAAGGTGTTAATATCTGGCAAATTAATAATAATTAATATAAATTTATTTATGTATCAAGTAGTAAAATATTGCTTTAACAAATAAAAAATATTGGTAAAAATTTATCTTTAAAATTATGACATCAATCACCCTTCATTTAATATTAATATTTTTAACATGTTCAAAGACCCATTCTTGGTAAGGATTGTCAAAGTTATTATCCACGGAACCGATATAAATTTCGACCTACCATGCAGTGAACAATATTATATCGATTTTCCGCAACTGCCAATGCTGATGTTTATTATCGGGGAAGTTATTGCTTTTTGAGCTAAGATATACATTTCGATCGCGTTGGCATCTAAATTTCGACCCATTTTGTGGTGAACAATATTATATAGACCTTGGCCAATTTTTCTCGATAACCAATGCTGATAGTCATTATTGGGAGTTATTGGGCTCAGTGCTAAGATAAACTTGTTCACGAGCGTTGGCACCTAAATTTCAACTCGTTTTACAATGGATGATATTATAAATTATCTTTTTGATGGTAGCTCCATTTTCAAATAATTTGTCAGACTTTTTTTTTATTCAATAATTATTTGAATCTTTAAAAATAATTTTGAATTTTAAACAAATGTTTAAAAAAATCAAATATTTAAAACAATGTTTAAGTATAAGAATTAGAGATAATTTTATTATTAAATATTTTAATAGCATTAAGTCTCAATACAGTGCGGATCATCTATACACAAAAGTTAAAATTTTTGAAATATTATGTGATCCACACATTGGATTTTAAAAAACTTACCACCA